TTACTTGATGTGAGAGACTCTTGATCCAAGGAATTGGACCAGTCTCCTCTTTCCTTGGGTTTAATATAATTGCCTCCTGTTTCCTCAGATGCTGAATGACCCCTCTGAATTTAGCACTTCCCATGAGTGGAATAATAATTCTCAATTGGGAGAGGAGGAAAAGGAGGGTAAGAAAGGATATGGGAGAGTGACAAGCCAATCTGTCATGAGTACAGTCCATAGTTATATCATCCTCTCCCATCTACCCCAAAAGAAAAATAGGATTTAATTTTTTTTTTTTCAACAAGTCGGCCATCTCCCACCTAGGCAGGGTGACCCAAAAAGAAACAAAATCCACAAAACGAAAATACCCTCATAATCATTTCAACACTTTCACCTCACTCACACATAATCACATAATAAATACAGTGGTCCCTCGTTGTTCGTAATTAATCCGTTCCTGGAGCCGTTACTATAAACGAAATTTACGATTTACGAATCAATTTTCCCCATAAGAAATAATGTAAATACAATTAATCCGTTCCTGACACCCAGAAGTATTAAAACAAAAAAAATTTTAACATGAAATATGCATGTAGTACATAAACAATACAATGGAAAATGATGAATGAAACATTAACAGCATAACACTTACCTTTATTGGAGATTCTTCTTAGTGTATGGGAGACTGGAGGAGGAGAGTGGATTGTTTATAGTTTGGAAGGGGAGTCCCCTTCCATCAACACCTCAGGTACCATTTGCTTTTCTGGGGTTGCTTCTCTTCTCTGTTTCTTAATGCCACTAGGACCACCTTGAGAGTCACTGGAGTCCTGTCTCACAAAATAACTGTGGAGAGAGATCTGTTTCTGGCGTCTCTTTAACACTTCCCTAAAATGGCCCAAGACTTTGTCACTGTACATGTTGCCAACCTGGCTTGCAACAACCTTGTTAGGGTGATGTTCCTCCATAAAGCTTTCCATCTTACCCCACATAGTAAAAATCTCTTTAATTTCTGAAGAAGGCACCTTCTTCCATCTCTCTTCCTCCTCCTCTGCAGCAAGATTCTGAGCTGCGATGTGTTGCTCTTCCTGCTGAAGCTCTTGCAGCTCCTCAGTGGTGAGTTCTTCATTGTGGTCTTCCACCAATTCTTCCACATCCTCCAAACTCACTTTCCAACCCCATGGAACTCCCCAGTGCCACAATTGATTTTACAACAGACATAGGCTCATTAGGGTCAGTCCCAAATTCTTAAAAATCCCTCTTGTCGACACAATCTGGCCACAATTTTCTCCAGGCAGAGTTCAAAGTCCTGGTAGTCACTCCCTCCCAAGCCATACCTATAAGGGTTATGCAGTGGAGGATGCTGAAGTGTTCTCTCCAAAATTCCTTAGGGTCAAGTGAGTGTCTGTGGTCACAGTCAAGCACCTGTGAAACATTGCTTTTATGTAGAGTTTTTTAAAGTTTGCAATAAACCTGCTGGTCCATGGGTTGGAGGAGAGGAGGGGGTATTCGGGGGCAAGAACTTTACTGTGATGAACCCAAACTCCTCGAAAATTAGGGTCATCCAAGTTTGGAGGATGAGCAGGTGCATTGTCCATTACTAGCAGGCACTTGAGATCCAATTTTTTTTTCCAGGAGATACTCCTTCACACTAGGGCCAAACACTTCATTGAACCACTCGACAAAAATTTCCCTCGTGACCCATGCCTTACTATTAGATTTCCAAAACACACAATTTACTCTTCATAACATTGTTTTTCCTGAACACTCTGGGATTTTCAGAATGGTACACTAGTAATGGCTTCACTTTGAAATCCCCACTAGCATTAGCACAGAACATTAGCGTCAGCCTGTCTTTCATAGGCTTGTGTCCTGGCATTGCCTTTTCCTCTTGTGTAATGAAGGTCCTCTTTGGCATTTTCTTCCGAAAGAGGCCTGTTTCGTCACAATTGAACACTTGTTCAGGTTTCAGTCCTTCAGCCTCTATGTACTCCTGGAATTCATGCACATATTTTTTAGCCGCCTTGTGGTCCGAACTGGCAGCCTCACTATGCCTTACCACACTGTGTATGCCAGTACGGTTCTTAAATCTCTCAAACCAGCCTTTGCTGGCCTTAAATTCACTCACTTCACCACTATTTGCAGGCAATTTCTTTACCAAATCTTCATGCAACTGCCTAGCCTTTTCACAAATAAACAAAGTCATAAGAGTATCTCCTGCTAATAGTTTCTCATTTATCCACACCAATAATAACATCTCAACCTCTTCCAGTACTGGTGATCTCATTTTTGTCAGCATAGTTACTCTGTTTGCAACAACAGCATCCTTTATTTAATTTTTCTTGGCCACTATGGAACATAAGGTTGTGTAGGGTTTCTTATACATCCTGGACAGTTCGGCCACACTTGTACCATTTTCATATTGTTCAATGATGGTTTTCTTAAATTCAGTCGTATTTCTCACCTTCTTTACCACAGGCTTGGCACTAGGAGCTTTCTTTGGAGCCATGGTAGCTTATTTAGTACTTGCAAGCACTAAAATAAATGGAATATTATGAAATATTTCACTGGAGCACGTGAGGGGACCTTCGCTCACTGGTAAACAATGCCAGACTGGCTGCCGCCCTGGCTCACGCCGTGGGTACGTGTCCCGGACGAACTACGACTCGCGAGTCAACCTATGAAAAGCGAGTCCATGTTTATACGAAAATACCTCTATGATTGGTGAATTTTACGATTGCCAGGAACTACGAAAAGCGGGGGACCACTGTACATTGGTATTATTGACCAAGTCTGCATCTAAAGTTATGTATAACATGAGCTTCTGTGGAACAATTTGATTGACTTAATGAACCTTTCCTCTGGTCCCAATATAGGTGGTAGAGCTGGGGTCTACTGTACAATGTGTTGCTTACTATACAGTGGGGTGTTTATTGTATAGTAGAAGTGTTCATAATACAGTGTGGATATTCATTATAAAGTGGTGGTGGTCATTATTTAAGGTGTTCGTTACACAGTACAGAATGAACACAATAATTATTATTATCCTCAGATTTAATTTGTTAGAAATTTTCTACCTCTAAGGTTTTGTAAGAAATATAACTGCATGCTTATCCTGGCTGAATCTTGAAGGCTACCTGAGAGTTAACTGAAGATGATTATGGAGGGTGAGTTCATTCCCATGGCTGGTCCTAGACTAGGCCTCTTCTTGATTGGTGACTTTATCAACCAACCTGTTAGTACTAGCAATATGCAGGCCAACATAGGCATCACACCCTAGCTGATTAGGAACTGACTTGAAGAATTTTTCAAGTTCATCTTGAAAACAGCTAGGTGTTTTGCTGGTAATTCCCCTTATGGAGAGAGGATGTTGAAAATTGTTGGTCTCTTTATACTTGCTGAGAAATCTCATATTGTACCCCCGTTTTTCATTGGGGATATTTTGCACCAACTGCTAAACCTCTTGCTTTCATAGGAAGTGATTTCAGCATGCAGATTTGGGACTAGTCCCTCCAGATTTTTCCAGGTGTATCTTCTCTTGTCATTTTCTTCTCTCTCTGGTCACTGTGTATCCTTACCAGGGGTGGATCTACTATGTATCTAATGAAGTTTAAGCTTAAAATTTTTGGGTCTACTGTATGAGAAGGGGTTGCAAAGGGGCCCTCCATAGCAGTTCAAGCTTCTAGGCCCCAAAACCGCTGATCCTTACAGTTAGTCTAATGGCTATTTGACAGCCTTAGAATTTTGCTTGCTACTAATTAATATAAATTACAAATCCTGTGATGTATTTTGAAATATATACTGTATACATACGAGGCACTCCGTGGACAAACTCAGCAAGTGTCAGTATTAAAGTGGTTGCTGGCAGAGGTATGTACCTCCCATTCACTGAGAGCTGAGCTAAAAGCCCAGTCTGAATGTTAACCGACTCAAAATGTTTTGCTCAAACCATGCACGTGCATAGTTTTTGTTTCACTGTCTAGTGACAGAGGAATAAAACAGTGAAACGAGAATGCATTTTCGGAAACAAGAACGCATTTTGTGTTTACTGAGTTTATCCACTGAGTGCCATTATTTGCGGTATATTGCAGTGTGTCTTTTTGTTTTCTGTTTTTAGTATTAGTCTTAGCTTAAGTCTGCCCGAAATGCTTTGCATAACTACAAACCACTATAATAACCACTGTAAGCCTACCTGGAGTTTACCTGGAGAGAGTTCCGGGGGTCAACGCCCCCGCGGCCCGGTCTGTGACCAGGCCTCCTTTATAACTTTATAACTTTAATATATCTTCTTGGAAAATAAATTATTATTATTATTAATGTATTCAACCAGACCATACCTCGGCCGGGATTGAACCCGCGGTCAGAGAGTCTCAAAACTCCAGACCGTCGCATTAGCCACTAGACCAGCTAGCCACAATAAGATTCGTCCAACTAGGTATATTTCTACACCATAGGAAGGTTAGCACAGGCACCACTGTGACCACAAATGCAAGTTTTTACAAACGAATCTCCAGCTAGCGTGGCCGTGACGAACTCTAGCTCAAGTCCCCTCACTGCCGTCAACATGACTCTCTGACCGCGGGTTCAATCCTGGCCGGGGTATGGTTTGTTTGCAATCGTGTCATTACGATTTCGTGAGTCATATTCAACCAGATTTTTGCTTACAGGTTAATATTAGCAGGTGCAAATGACCAGGTATTCATCATCATCATCATAATTTTATAATTAATTGCCCTTTGCTTAAGCCATTTTTATAGGTAATCCAGCAAGGAGGAGGGTATTGTGCATATTTGTGTGTTTTTAAGTTGTTGTTACTCTGATAGTGGATAGGACATTTACTGGCTACCTACAGTAAATGCAAAGAACTTTTTTGAGACTCAATTTAAGTATTAAACATCAAAATTTATATTTTTTTTCTTCCCTATTTAGTTTTCTTAGTTTAAACCTTTAATTTGGCACTTTTTTATTTTTGTTATTTCACTGATCTTATCAAAGCACTAAATTATGATCTTACTCAACAGAACACAGCTGCACTCTCTACAGTGACCACCACTACAACTGTAGCCTCGCAAGGTGTCACAGCTGCCACCAACACCACTATGGGTGTTACCCCTGGCACTACGGTTACTGGCACCATGGTAGCTTCAACGTTGACCACAGCCACACCTACCACGCAAGCCTCTCAGCCTGCTACAGTTGGCTCTGTAAGACTGTGTTTCTAATCACCTTCTTTCCTATTAGGTATTGCAGGTTTTGCTGTGTTTGTTACCTCTGCCTAAGCAACATACCTTGCACTTTTCACTATTGTTTCCTTTTTATATTTTTATCTCTTGGTTGTAGTGTCATAACTTAAGAATGCTTCTCTGCTTTGATTTTTTTTGTTTAACACTTGTACCATCCTAAAACTAAGGCTTGTTTTGTACTTTGTACAATCTATTAAGGTTTTGTACTTTGGCAATCTATTAAGGTTTTGCATGTGACATCACATGTTTCTTGTTAGCCATACTAGATGTGAAGCCACATTAACAACCAAGTACACCTTCTGTGCAAACATGTGAGATTTCTCTCATTTTTCTAAACCTCTATGATGGTTACTGGTTATTGTGCTGTTAATCGTAGTAATTGGTAAGATGACAAATCTTCGGGTTTCTCGAGGATTTTGAAAGATGAAAACAGTGTCCGCTATGAGATGGGAAGACAAGGAGTCAACAGAAATGTTCCCTCCAGGAAAGGTGCTTAGATACCAGTGAGGGGATTTTGATCCAAGGAAGTGGATCTATCCTTCCCTTCCTTGGAATGATTCTGAATACCTTTCATTCCTCCAGTGATGCATGACACCTGCAGGTTTAGTGCTTTTCTCTGAAAATAATAATAATAATAATAATAATAAGTATCTGGAAGGATTGCAATTGAGTAAATGTTGATGAAGGTTTTCTTCTTCCTTGGGTCACTCTGCTTTGGCGGGACAGAACCATGGAGTTAAAAAAAAAATCAAGGCAAATACCTTGATGCTAGTGAAGGTTCTTGAGTTAATGATTTGCAGCAGAAAAGATTGGTACCAAGCCAGGTTGCAGGAGTAGGAAGACTAGAAACTAGGCACAGGTACTTCCCTTTCTTCAGTTCAAACTTGACTTCCACCTATTCCTCGGGTTGTATGACCCTTATGGGTTTAGCACTTCCCCTTGAATATACAATAATAATAATGTATTAACAAACCAAAATTAACATTGAATGAACATGTATTATTGCTCAGCACTATGTAACTCATGGATTTATTGTTTATTTTTAATATAATATCACTGGAATGCTAATCCACTTGGGGTTATATAGCACCTAATGAATGGGAGGTAATCAGATTCAGTCTGAAGAAAGGGAGGGTAACTCCAGTTCCTTGGCAAAAACAAATGGTTTGTTTAGTAGAAGTATTCTTAAGTCATAATAAGACATCTTGTATTTGTAACATATGGCATGTGATTGTTGTGTCATTGCAGCATCATAGGTTGGTAATAAGTGTAGCTTAAGGTAAGTATTGTATTAAGGTATCAGACCCTCACATCAGTTGACAGACAGTTGAATAATTATTTATTCAGTATATGTGTGTGTAGGAAGTACAGTGCCTGCACCCTAAAGGAGGAGGGGTTTGGGATATTGGTTGTTTGGAGTGACATCTGAACTATCATATCTGAGTGCCTCTGAAAAGACAGTGATTATGTGTGAATTAGGGTGAGTGTTTCTTTCACCACCCTGCCTTCGTGGGAGACAGCTGACGTGTTAAAAAAAAAAAGTGGGAGGGTGGTAAATAGGAGTGAGTGGAGGCAAGTAGTTTTTATGACTTGACATGCTGTTGGAGTTTGAGCAAGGTAACATTTATGAAGGGATTCAGGGAAACTAGTTAGCTGGACCTGAGTCCTGGAGGTGGGAAGTACAGTGCCTGCACTCTGAAGGAGGGATGGGGATATTTGCAGTTTTGAACTGTAGTATCAGCACATCTCTGGCAAGACAGTGATGGAATGAGTGATGATGAAAGTTTTTCTTCTTTTTTTTTTTTGGTAACCCTGCCTTGGTGGGAGATGGCTGGTGTGTTTAAAAAAAAAAATGCTGGTTTGTTTAAAAATTATTGATGAATACTTGACTTTGCGTATGTTTGCCATTATGAGATGGCATAAAATAGTCTCGGGTAGTTGGAGTGAAGTGATGCAACATAAGTGCTGGAAAAAGATGTGTACAGCAAAAGCAGATCTTCCATAAAGAATAAAAAGGCACAATACCATGATTGTAAAAACACACAAATAACCTACACAGAAAGAAATAAAACTTATGAAGAGGTTTCAGTCAGACTTGGACCATTATTAATTAGTTAATCTCTTAAGTTGGACCAAAATGTCTTAAGTTTCAGTCTCCTATGTGCGGGGTTAATTGTGTTCAGATCTTTCATTAAATACTGTGTGATGTTTCACCTGCAAGAGACTTTATCAGATAATGTACTTACTTCTACTGTACTTCATAAAACCTCTTGGAGGTAAAATGTATTTAGTAAAAAAAGAAATCTTCTGTTGCTATACACATTTTTTTTCTTTTTCCTACCTATCCCAGATGCTTGCCACCGATGTAGCTTTCTATTTAGCCCCAAACAAAGTGGTGAGCTATTGCACAGCTTATCAAAATAAGTTTGAGCAGAATTGCATCCAATATAATTGATAAGTGTAAACCAGCTGACATATTGGAGGATTTTAGAGCATTTTTTTTATACAGGGAGATGGAGTTATTCTTTAGGCCTTGTAGTAACAACTAGTAACTACAGTATGAGTATCTAGTCCAGCCTCGTTGCATATTTCCTGATCCTGATAGGGTATCCAAAATAGTTTAATTTTACAACCCTTTTTTTTCTGATTGTACCTTAAAAACTATAGGGACATAGAATAAATTACAAGAAGTCAGGTGTGAGCAAGCTATATATTCTTAGACCGAGAATGCATTTCATATAGTGAAACAGATAGCTACTTGGCAAATTTTGGAAAAAAAAAATAAGACTGAGCTAAAGGGAAAGTATTATCATAGATTAAAGAACATGTGAAAAGTAGAAAACAAAGTTACTATAAGGAATGAAGCTTTAGGATGGAAGACTATATAATGGATTTCCACAGTGAATCAGTGCTAGTGCCCATGTTGTTCATGGTGCACATTAATTTTTTTTTTTTTAACAAGTCGGCCGTCTCCCACCGAGGGTGACCCAAAAAGAAAGAAAATCTCCAAAAAGAAAATACTTTCATCATCATTCAACACTTTCACCACACTCACACATAATCACTGTTTTTGCAGAGGTGCTCAGGACACAACAGTTTAGAAGCATATACATAGAAAGATACACAACATATCCCTCCAAACTGCTAATATTAATTATCTTATCCTAGGAATTAATATCTAAGGTAGGCTCATTTACAACAGTTGGCTGGAAATTGAGATGTGTGACCAACTGGTAAAATGTGCCTCCCACAAACTCAAATGTGTACTGTATGTATAAATAGGTAAGCACAGCTCTTCATCACAAGAGCATATATTCATTGCAACACTAAGTGGCAACAATGTTGGCCACAAAGTGCCTCTGCATGAGGTGTTTTGCTCTCACAGTTCAAGAATGCAATACAGTGGGGATCATTTTTACGATGTTAATTTTTGATAACATTGGCACCTTGGAATGAGTTAGGATTTTCTTAAGGATGAATTATTAATATTTTTTCTCATTTTTTTGCCAATTGCACTCATACTGTATAATTATTTTATGCATGTATAGAAAGCTCTCGTTAGTTTGGTGGAGACTGGTCAAGACCTAGAAATTTAATACATATTTGCAATTTCAAAGATGAATTATAAATATTTTTCTCTTAGTTTTTACTAGATGCATTAATAATTTGTGTTTTTTCATTTTATATATGTATTGAGAGTTTATATTTATTTGGTAGAGATTGGTTAAGAATTGTAGATTTAATACTTAAGTTCTGTAGTAGCTGCTACCTCTACTGATGTATGTTGGATGTGTCAGCAGGTGAGATGTGGAGTCAGCAGTAGCTCCATTCACTCACACATCACCTTCCAGCCACACCCTCACACAGTTATTCTCACAGCCACCTTTCCCCACTAAATATCCAGGCACATTAACCCTCATGATAATATAGAGGAAATGATAAGCATATGTTTGAGCTAGGTACATTGCTAGAAAGGGTGAATGTGAGTATGACTGAGTGAGTCAGTCAGTCAGTCCAGCTGCTGCCCAGCCTAATTCCTCCCACACCATGGAGAGCATATATTTGAGTTCAATACAATACAAGAGAGAGGGTGGGAGTGAATATAAGGGAGACCAGCAGGTAGTGTAGCTGGGCCCACCCCTATACATCTGTCACCCTCACCACACACTAGAGCATTGTTATGCTATTGTTGCTCTGGTCTGTTTAATATGCGTACATTAATTAAGCTGTGTTTAATTCTATTTTAAGCAAAAAAGAAAAGTACTGAGTAAATATTGGGTAAAAAGTCTTTGGTAGTTTATTTTGAAAGGGTGAATGTTTGTTATTAGATTGATACAAAAATGTTAAACTATTAAATAGATTTTTGGAGAATGGAATTGCTTGATTCCATAGTTTATGCCTACTTTTACCTTGGCCTTTGTTAAATCCAAAAATCTATGTCCTTTAAATCAGAATTGTTCTTTGCTCTTTTGAACAATTCTGGATTTAACAAAGTCCATTATATCCAGAATTATACACAAATGACCCGCACATAGAAGAGAGGAGCTTACGGCGACGTTTCGGTCCAACTTGGACCATTTACAAAGTCACACTGTGACTTTGTAAATGGTCCAAGTTGGACCGAAATGTCGTCGTAAGCTCCTTTCTTCTATGTGCGGGTTATTTGTGTATCGTTCCAGTCACGGTATTGTGCCTTTTTTTGTTATCCAGAATTGTCTGTTATTGTTGAGGTCTACTTGGCAATTTGATGTTCAGATTTAACAGACTTTGTCCTTTCAGAGATAAGCTGATGGAGTTGTTTATCGGTGTTATCATGAGAAAATAATCTCATCACTTGGGTTTAACAGACACCCCTTTATGCTATTAGGCTGTTAAATCAAGGTTTTATTGTACATGTGTTGTCATGTTTGCATTTTAAATTTTTCCTGTAGATTAAAATAGGTGTGAAAACATTAAGTTGGATACTTTGTGTATCCATACATCATTGTTCAATTTGAGTACTTTACTGACCCAGTTTTGTGTTACTGCAGTCATTCACTTTTGAAGTATTCCTAATATAATATAAACTCACTGAGATTTCTCTTCTAAATGTAGTTTCCTCATATCTGTTTCAGCAAACTATTTCGGCAGAATCTGCAAAAACAAAATGTAAAAACTTTTTGGCTACTTTACTGAAATTAGCAAATGAGCAACGGGCACCAGTCGCCCGAAATGTTCGAAACTTAATTCAGGGTCTCATCGATGGTAGAGTGGAGCCAGAAGCATTCACAGAAGAACTTCAAAAGGACCTCAATTCTTCCCCACAACCATGCCTTGTTCCTTTTCTCAAGGTGTGTTTTAATGCTTTATAACTGTAATAGTATTTACTAAAATGTCATTCTTGGCTTTACATTTCCACAGATCTGACTTTTATGTAATGTCTCAAATTTGACAGCTAATGATAAACTTTACTTAGAAGACTTACGTTTCAAAATCTCAGTACTGTGTATGTAAATTTAATATTTATTATGATTATGTATGTTCTTTGTACAGTCAATATGTACTGTAATTATTCAGAAACTGTTAGACCTTATCTGGCATAGACATCTAAAGAATGAGTGATTGGGTTTTACTACTGTGGTGAAAAATAGCTGGTGTGTTAAAAAAAATGATAATTTGTAAAAATAATGACCAATTTGGGAATTTATAGTCATGTGAGTTGGTATTATTGGGAGATGTTGATATATTAGTACTTTATAAATAGATAAAGTACTACATCATACATGCACTGATATAAAAAGAACTAGTTAAATAATAAAGAGTTCTAGCTGACAAGCTGTGAGATCAACTGTTGAAATACTTTTTTCTGGTTAGCTGGACTTGAGTCCTGGGGATGGGGAGTACAGTGCCTGCACTTTAAGGGAAGGGTTTGAGATATTGGCTGTTTGGAGTGATATCTAAACTGTCGTATTTGAGAGCCTCTGCAAAGACAGTGATTACGTGTGAATGATGGTGAAGGTGTTGAATGATGAAAAATTTTTCTTTTTAGGGTTTTTCTTTCTTTTTGGGCTTTTTTCTTTTTGGGTCACCCCTCCTCGGTGGGAAATGGCCAACATAAAAAAAAAATTAACAATTTGGGAATTTATGGTCATGTAAGTTGGTATTATTGGGAGATGTTGATATATTATTTGATTAGTTCTTTTTATATCAGTGCATGTATGATGTAATACTTTACTGATTTCTGAAAACGAGAATTTTAATTTATTTTTCTTCCATTACTAGAAAAAAAATAGAATTTATACATTGTATATGGAAAATAATGTACAGAATTTTTTGTCCTCAGAAAACTTTACCATACCTGCGATTGTCTTTAGCGCGGCAGGAGTTAACCATCGATGGTGTACGGCCACCACCAATATCAGCAGTCACTCCTGTTCCAGGTGTCACCACAGTCATACCTGCAGTAAGTTCAGCAACCCAGTAGCATTTCCACATAGGTTCAAGGAGTTCACATGGTTAACCCAGTAGCATTTCCACATAGATTTAAGGAGCTTACATGGTTGAAAATTTGACATAACAAAAAATTACCAATTTTTTAAAAAATAAAGCTGACAAAGTACAGTGGACCCCCGCATAACGATTTTAATCTGTGCAAGAGGGGTAATTGTTATGCGAAATAATCGGTATGTGAATGAATTTTCCCCATAAGAAATAATGGAAATAAAATTAATCCGTGCAAGACACCCAAAAGTATGAAAAAAAATTTTTTTTACCACATGAAATGTTAATTTTAATACACACAAACTGAAAAAGGCATGCACACAAACTGAAAAAGGCATGCACACTTACATGACACTTACTTTTATTGAAGATCTGGTGATGATTGATGGGATGGGAGGAGGGGAGAGAGAGTGTTAGTGTTTAGAAGGGGAATCCCCTTCCATTAAGACTTGAGGTGGCAAGTCCTTTTCTGGGGTTACTTCCCTTCTTCTTTTAATGCCACTAGGACCAGCTTCAGAGTCACTGGACTTCTTTCGCACAACATATCTGTCCATAGTGGCCTGTACCTCTCGTTCCTTTATGACTTCCCTAAAGTGTTTCACAACTTTGTCAGTGTAATAATCACCAGCACGGCTTGCAATAGCTGTGTGAGGGTGATTTTCATCCATGAAGGTTTGCACTTCAAGCCACTTTGCACAGATTTCCTTAATCTTTGAAGTAGGCAACTTCTTCAATTTCTCTCTCCCCTCCTCTGAACCAGTTTCCTCAGGTCTGGCCTCTTGCTGTTGAAGTTGATCTATCAGCTCATCAGTGGTTAGTTCTTCATTGTCCTCCTCCACCAACTCTTCCACATCCTCCCCACTAACCTCCAACCCCAAGGACTTTCCCAATGCCACAATGGATTCCTCAACTGGCATAATCCTCTCAGGGTTAGCCTCAAACCCTTCAAAATCCCTTTTGTCTACACATTCTGGCCACAGTTTCTTCCAAGCAGAGTTCAAGGTCTTCTTAGTCACTCCCTCCCAAGCCTTACCTATAAGATTTACACAATTGAGGATATTAAAGTGCTCTCTCCAAAACTCTCTTAGAGTCAGTTGAGTTTCTGAGGTCACTACAGAGCTTTTGTGTACAGTTTTTTGAAGTTTGCAATAACCTGCTGGTCCATGGGCTGCAGGAGAGGAGTGGTATTAGGAGGCAAAAACTTCACCTTAATGAAGCTCATGTCCCCATAAAGTCGCTCTGCCACGTCTGTAGGATGACCAGGGGCATTGTCTAACACCAGGAGGCACTTAAGTTCTAATTTCTTTTCAGTTAGGTAATCTTTCACATTGGGGGCAAATGCATGGTGTAACCAGTTATAGAAAAAGTCCCTAGTGACCCATGCCTTACTGTTTGCCCTCCACAGCACACACAAATTATCCTTGAGGACATTCTTTTGCCTGAACGCTCTGGGAGTTTCAGAGTGATACACTAATAAAGGCTTAACTTTGCAATCACCAGTAGCATTGGCACACATCAACAAAGTAAGCCTGTCTTTCATAGGCTTATGTCCTGGGAGTGCCTTTTCCTCCTGAGTAATGTAGGTCCTGCTTGGCATTTTCTTCCAGAACAGGCCTGTTTCATCACAATTAAACACTTGTTCAGGTTTCAGTCCTTCACTGTCTATGTACTCCTTGAATTCCTGCACATATTTTTCAGCCGCTTTGTGGTCCGAACTGGCAGCCTCACCATGCCTTATCACACTATGGATGCCACTACGCTTCTTAAATCTCTCAAACCAACCTTTGCTGGCCTTATATTCACTCACATCATCACTAGTTGCAGGCATTTTTTAATTAAATCCTCATGCAACTTCCTAGCCTTTTCACATATGATCGCTTGAGAGACGCTATCTCCTGCTAGCTGTTTTTCATTTATCCACACCAATAAGAGTCTCTCAACATCTTCCATCACTTGCGATCTTTGTTTCGAAAACACAGTTAAACCTTTGGCAAGAACAGCTTCCTTGATTGTCTTTCTGGTGCCCACAATAGTAGCGATGGTTGATTGGGGTTTCTTGTACAACTTGACTAGGTCGGCGATACGCACTCCACTTTCATACTTATCAATGATCTCTTTCTTCATTTCTATTGGAATTTCTCACCCTTATTGGTGTACGGTTGGAACTAGAAGCTTTCTTGGGGCCCATGGTCACTTATTTTCCAGAAACAGCACCGAAAACACTGTAATAATACGAAATATTCCGAGTGTATGCTTGGATGTTACCGCGGAGGCTGGCTGGTAAACAATGGCACGGGCGGCACATGTGAGGCTGGCTGAGGGCGCACATTGGACGCGTCTCGGACGAAAATCGGTGAGCGGGTTTTTAATCGGTATGCGCGGCAAAATTTTTGCGATTAAAGCAAGCGGTATGCGGATTAATCGCTATGTGATGCCATCGTTATGCGGGGGTCCACTGTATTACCTTTGAAGCTCGATGACTTTCAGATTTTTTCTACCATGTCTTCATTAGTAATTATTGCTGCATTGTGTCTTCAGAAATTACTGGTAGTTTAGTGGGTGTCAGGCTACCCTCCCATGAGCCTCCATCATTAATGTATCTGAGACAGAGAGTTCAGATGTGTAGTAGAATCTTCTGTTATTATATTGACACAAAAATGTTCAACTATTAAATAAATTTTTGGATAATGGAATTGCTTGATGTCATAGTTGATGGCTACTTTTACCTTAGCCTTTGTCAGCTGAAGTCAGCAATGCAGCAAGCCTTGAGACTCAATTCAAATGTTTAAACACTTGCTGCATTGCTGACTTCAGCTGACAAAGGCTAAGGTAAAAGTAGCCATCAACTATGACATCAAGCAATTCCATTATCCAAAAATTTATTTAATAGTTGAACATTTTTGTGTCAATATAATAACAGAAGATTCTACTACACATCTGAATTGAGTCTCAAGGCGACCATCACTCTACAAATTTGCTGGAGTAATGTTCTTAGAACTCCCAGTAATTCAGAACATCAGATTCTACTAAATGCTGTCTTCTTAGTTGAACTTTTTCCAAATTTTCTTTACAGAAAATTATACACAAATACAGTGGAACCTTGGTTCTTGAACAGCTCTCTACTTGAACAAAGCTCAGCACTTGACCAAACAAACACGACCTGTCAGAACTTTGCTGTAAACTATTTCGTGTTTCTTCGGATTTTTTGGTGTTTTTTATATTTGTATAAGTAAGTCACCATGGGGCCTCTGAAGATTAGTGATAACAGCCAACCAAAGAGAGAATTGGTTGGGAAGAATTTGTTCAATACTCAAACGGATCAGCACTCAAACAGCCTTCTGGAATGAATTAAGTTCAAGTACCAAGGTTCCTCTGTAATACTGTATAAATGAGTGCAAATGAATATTAAGCAGAGAATATAACAGTTAAAGCTAAAAATAATAAGAGGAATCCTGTTTATTAGGATGTGTTAGATTAGGTTCATTTCATGCTGTACAGAAAAGGATTCACTCCTAAATAGGTCAGTAACTTGTATAGGAGATTCTTTAGTACAGTATCAAACCCTGTTTTGCTAAAGTCATTAAGAATACATCTAATTATTAATGATTACACATAGTTAAGCACCTGACTTGATAGCTTCACTGCTTTCACGTCCTCCAGATTCTTTTGTTACTTCTTTCAGAATCTCTCTCATGTGCTTTTTACTTTAATAAGTATAGTGCTGTGCTAAGAGAATGTAAAATAGAAAATACATATTACACTAACATATGATAATACTTTGTATTTTAGATGCCAGTTTCACGTCCTGTTGCTCCCACTACTTCTGGGACTGTAAGAATGGTTGCCCCTACATCAGTTTCCTCCGCTAATCTTGTACAACGGCCGGTAAATGCCACTCCTGCACCTACAAGAGTAGTTACTGTAAGTTTATATATGTGGTTCTAAACTAATTTCTTCATCTAAAATCTTAACACTTGCATTGGGTTATGAGGGGATGCAGTCCACAAGAAATTTTGAGTTATTAGTGTTTAGGCTAGGTGAACCATGTTAGGAATGACAAACTGTTGGTAAACATTCAGTATACCAAAAGTGGACCGTAACCACTTTTTACCACATAGTCTCCCAATATTCCTTCTGCACATCTGTGCTGCCTTGTCTACACAACCATTTGTGTAGTTCCTTGACTAATTCAGTCAAGGAAAGACTGTTATGGCGAGCAATTATATAGATCTAACTAATCCTCCAGGCTGGAGGATGATGATTGACTGATATGCTTTTTGCTGGACTTACAGGTTGTGTGAAGGGAAAATTTTAGTGCTGTATATACAGTTGGAGGGGTTGGGGATATTGGCTGTTTGGAGTTACATCTAAACTGTCATATCTGGGCTCTTCTGCTAAGACAGTGCTTATGTATGAATGATTGTGAAAGTATTGAATGATGGTAAAAGTTTTTCTTTCTTTTTTGGGTCACCCTGCCATGGTGGGAGACGGCCGACGTGCTGAAAAAAAATGTATAGTTGACATAAAAGGAGATTCTTGTGTAGGAAACACGTGTGACAGTGGATATTGTTGATGTCTTGATTACTTTTGTACATGATCACTTACTGACATGTCAGGTTTTAGGAAGAGGCAGGGTAAACAACTTCATTGTTACATTTCACCATGAACATACTACACAGTAAACCAGAAGATTTGGCCAGAATCACCAACTGGTAACATTCACACCAACCTGCTCTCACTGTTGTGAGGAAACATACTGGAAAGTTTCCTTACATACCTGCTGTCCCAGCCTACCTATCAGTAGGTAAGACACATGGGCAACAGTTAGGCAACTTCGTCTTTACATCTCTACTGCTCCTGCCTACTTTCTGTACTCGACTTAAGAAGCCTACTGTGTAGGCGAGACATTTTGGAATAAAGTTGCCGAACTGTTGCCCACGTGTCTTACCTACCAACCTCTCGGTATTGTATACCATTTTGATATGCCTATCAGTGTTATCTGACTGTTGTGGGTATCATCTAGGGAAAAAATATTAGAAAACTCCAGTCTTACTGGAATGTCATATCTAGTCCTCTGAAGGGAAAACTTCAGTACCTGCTGGAGATATTCAAGTATTAGGTAAAAGGTAGCATTATACCTAATGATGGTAATTAAATAAAAATAGCACCAGCAGTTAGGATTCTCCCCTTGAGTATTATTGCTAGCTATTCTTTCTTTCTTTCAACACACCGGCCGTATCCCACCGAGGCGGGGTGGCCCAAAAGGAAAAACGAAAGTTTCTCCTTTTACATTTAGTAATATATACAGGAGAAGAGGTTACTAGCCCCTTGCTCCCGGCATTTTAGTTGCCTCTTACAACACGCATGGCTTACGGAGGAAGAATTCTGTTCCACTTCCCCATGGAGTATTGCTAGCTATATGTGTATTTAAATAGGTCAAAGCTAGGAACCCTTGATCACATGGAAAACAAATGCTCTTTGTACGCGACCACTATGTCACTGACAGCAAACATGGCTGGGTCCTTGATATTTAGATGTTTATTGCTATAGATTTAGAAAGCGTGATAACAGCCAAGGAAATTCCTGTTATACTCCAAAGGAGTAATTCTCATGGAAGTGACCACAATCATTATCTCTTCTCTCTGAAAGTTTAACTGGTTTGTCAACTAGGGTTTGGCCTGTGAGTTCATTCTCTGTTAGGATGACATATTCAAATCCCTACCAATATTTCCACATTGGCATGATCTGGACACTCGTCTGTGTATTTTATTGTTGTTATTTAGGAATCTGGGGCCATAGACTGGACTTAAGCAAAACTACAAATATCAATATTTCCCTTATTAGTCCATCACCATAGCAGGACACCTTACTACTATAAAATCCATTCTGGTTCCTATTCCTAGAGTGGTTCATAGAGCCTTCCACGAAAAATATTTTTCATACTTCAAATGTTTTAGTATTTAATAATATTCTAGAAGATAAAATAAAAATTATAAGAAAAAGATTGCCTAGTTATTGGTTGTTAAAGTAAAGGAAGAACTTTCAGCAAGTAGAAATGCAGTGAGAAGGTACTGCTAGGAAACCATTTTTTCAAAATGTAGACAAACAAGTTATGTTAGGAATAACAACTAAGACTGAAGTAGTAATATTAGACGTAAGTAGAATTTACAGTTTCCACTGAGAAGACCTCTTCAGATAGTTTATCAACACTTCACAGACTTGTCATTGTTTGTGAGTTCTCCTTCCTTCCTCAGTCGAATTACCTAGTCCTTTACTGTCACCTTTCTTCTGATACGGCTTTGAAGTAGTTACAGTTCAAACTTGCCCCTTGCTGCTTTGTCATTCTCAAATTCTCATTCTCATTCTCTCTCATTCTCTCATTCTCTCTCATTCTCATTCTCTCTCATTCTCATTCTCTCTCATTCTCATTCTCTCTCATTCTCATTCTCTCTCATTCTCATTCTCTCTCATTCTCTCTCATTCTCTCTCTCTCTCTCTCTCTCTCTCTCTCTCTCTCTCTCTCTCTCTCTCTCTCTCTCTCTCTCTCTCTCTCTCATTCTCTCTTTTTTTTTACACAGGGTTTGACAAGGTTAGGTTAAGGATCCCTAGCTTTATTGACAAGCTATTTACAGGTTAAGGATTCTCTCATTCTCTCTCTCTCTCATTCTCTCTCATTATCTCACTCTCATTCTCTCTCATTCTCTCTCTCTCTCATTCTCTCTCATTCTCTCTCTCATTCTCTCTCTCATTCTCTCTCTCTCTCATTCTCTCTCTCTCTCATTCTCTCTCTCATTCTCTCTCATTCTCTCTCTCTCGCTCTCGCTCTCTCTCTCTCTCTCTCTCTCTTTTTTTTTTTTACACAGGGTTTGACAAGGTTAAGGACCCATAGCTTTATTGACAAGCTATTTACAGGTTAAGGATTCCTAACTTTGTTGGCAAGCTAAGAGCTGTTACCTACATCAGCTCATTTGAAAGCATTTTTATTGTTATGAGACATACAAGTAGGGAACAGGATGAAGTTGGAGCCATCTGTGGGCCAGAATTTTCAATTGATCAGCTGACTTTATCTCGTTGACATCATTATGCTGTACGAATGTGTTCCATACTCGAGTCATCCTGGGTATATATGATCTCAGATGGAGTGATGTTCTGGAGAAGGGTACAGCCAGAGTGAAGTTGCTGCTTTCTGCTCGTCTTGTGGCATGAAAGCTTGTTTCACGCTGTCCTCGAAGTGGATCCAAGTGTGGTACTTTGACAGTATTGGCCTTGTACATAACAGTAAGGCCACCCACATCCCTCCTGTGTTGAAGGCTCTGCTGAAATGACAGATCTATCCAGGATGGGTCCAGGTGAGAGATGAGATGTCTTGCTCTGTTCTCTACTCTGTCAAGCAGTCGCAGATGAGAGGGGGGGCAGGCAAACCAAGAAAGTAGAGCCTCAAGGTGTGAGCGTACTTGTGCCTCGTACAGAATCTTGCAACCCCTACTGTCAAGCAGATGTGAGATACGGCGAAGTGCTGTAAGCTTCCTGGCTGCCCTGTTTGCAAGATTTACAACATGGTTCTTCATGGTCAGTTTGGAGTCAAATTTTTCCCCAAGGATATCAACTTTTTCTCCAGGTGCCAACACCCTCCCATTCATCCTTAGTACTGCACCAGCATTACCATCATGGTGCCTAGAGACCGTCATTTGCATTTTCTCAGGTGCAAATGTTACTTGCCATCTATTTCCCCAAGCTGATATAGCTCTTAGCTGGTGATTGATGTAGCTTAGAGCAGCTGGCATTTCTTCTCTTGGATAAGTGAATGTCAATGTACAGTCGTCTGCATATGCATGGGATTCTGGGATGAGATGAAGAATGTCATTGAAGTAGACATTCCATAACAATGGTCCCAGCATGCTTCCTTGTGGAACACTTGCCCCAATAGGATGTCTTGTTGATGAACTACCCTGAGAGATCTACCATGAAGGTAATCACTGAGGAGACATAACGTAGAGCCTCCAATTCCCAGTGCTTGAAGTTTCGCTAAGAGGCCCTGGTGCCACACCCGGTCGAAAGCACCAGCAATGTCCAGTGCTGCCACACAGCTGACTTTGGATTCATCCAGTGACTGGTGCCACTTAGTGGAGAGGTTTAACAACAGATCAGTAGCAGAGTAACCTTTCCTGAAGCCATATTGACGATCACAAAGTAGTGAGTGGTAGTCAAAAAACTCTGTCATTTGTCTTGAGATTATTGTCTCAAGGATCTTACCAGTGATTGACAGGAGCAATACTGGTCTGTAGTTGCTGATTTCTGCTCTGCTCTTCTTTTTGTGAACAGGGACTACATTTGCCTCTTTCCACAGAGAGGGCTATTTACACTGCTAGGCAGTGCTGAAAGATGCAAGTCAGAGGTGCTGCTAGCTGGTCTGCACATCTTCTCAGCAATCTTGGGCATAACTTGTCTGGGCCCACAGCCTTTTCTTGGTCAAGCGATTTAAGAGGGAAATGCACCTCCTCCTGCCTTATTGTCACCACTGACAGTTTTGACACAGTTCTTGCAACTAGCTAAGGAGGGTCCCTTGCTGGATCAGGAACTTGCATTTTGGTAGCAAAGTGTTTGGCAAAGAGGTCCTCCTTCTCTTGACTACTAGTAGAGGTGGTCCCATCCTGTTGATTTAGAGGTGGAATGAGTTCATCAGGCAGATAACCTTGTCTGTCCTTGACCAGGGACCACCCAGTTTTGGAGCCTACCCTACCTGATGCTAGCTTTCTTTTTGTGCCCATCTCCCATTTAGCAATGGCCCATTTTTGAATGTCACCCATATGCCTACAGGATTGCCTGTGCAAGTTCCTGTTATAGGTGGTAGGATGTCTCTTATACCTTCGCCATGCTTTGTACTTAGCAGTAGCAGCCTCTCTACAACGAAAGCCAAACCA